AATGAACAAAAGCTGATCCATACTAGAGACAAGAGCTAAAGGTAAGGAGGCAAGTTCAAAAAGGAGCATCAGCTTGAATTTTTTCATCCAAAATGATTATAGCCATTGGATAAATGAGGCAAAGTCAATGAAGCAGCATGTATTAACAGGAGCAAGAGAGGATTTAATGTATTTTTGGAAATAGGAACTATTGAGGTAAATGGTAAGGAAGGTTGGATTGATCGATGAAAAATTGACAAATTTGCAGCCCTACTGGGTTCCTAAAACTGATGGCCCTCAGAAAAATGATGCATCGCTTTGGGGCAGACCAAACTAGAGGACATAAACATTAGATAATCATACCAGGAAATTCAGGATTCACACCTTTCCCTAGAAGAGTGGTTAGAACATGGAACTCTGCCATATGGGGCACTTGAGACAAGAAACAGAAGCATATTTATGAGGATGCTGGATAAATGGTGAGATAGAAAATAGCAGAAGGGCATTTTGATAGGATCTGAAGGAGGGAAGGAGGCTTGTGTGAAGCATAAACAGCAGCATGGAGAATTTTGTGGAACAGACTGGTACAGCCGTTAGGCTGGCCAGACATCCAGTTTTGCACAGGCCAGACCAGTTTTAACTGTCAGGTACAGGGTTTTCATAACTGACATTTTAACTACAGCTCAGAGAAGGAGAGTGCTTGTTTCTTCATTTGTCTGGCAGAAGCCTTGATGTGACAGGCAAGAAGGAAACAGGACTTTTTCATGTCTTTCTCTTAGGTCTTGCTGTCTTCCTTACAGCACTGAATCTCTGCATTTACAATGACATTACCTCTTGTGCATTGGTACAGGGTCCAGCATCAGTAGCCTCCAGCAGTGACCACCTTTATACTGTGCTATGCAATTCTGTGATAAATTCATATATCAAGGGCTAAGGGACATTCTGTAAGAGCCTGATTCTACATAGATACAGTGCTTGATTTCATTATCCTTGATTTCACAGCCAACACTTTTTGTGCTGGTCTGACTCTACTTGACTTCTACTCCGGGGCCTGAGGTCCATAGATACCTGATCCATGCCCTCCCTAACACTCCTGTCATATTTAAGAGTTGAGAATGGGATTGAAGTCAAGGTGGAAAAACCACAAAGTCCCTTTTAGTAATAGCAAGAACAGATGTAGAAAAGGCAGTTAGTATAGTGGAAAAACAGATTACAGTAGCTGGCTTAATGACACTAGATTCAATTGGCGCACAATGCATTTGAACTCAGATGAGAAAAAGTTAATCAAGTGTGAGAATAAAAAGGGATCAATGAAAGAGGTAATACTGAAGAGAAGGAAGAACAAAAGTCACACTCTGTTCAGCTGCTGGTCTGAAATTTGAATTTTCAACATGAATTCAGTAATAGGTTGCAGGCATTTAAAAAGTTCCTGTTTCCATTCCTGAACCTACAATTTAAAGTGTAATAGAATGACAGCGTTGGCACTTTAAGTCTAGAGAAACCTGCGATGGGTTCCCCTTGGGGAAGTCAGTAGAAACTTTTTAATGGATTATTTTGTTACTGACACAAAGTTCAAGATCTGAACTTTAAGCCAGCAGCTGGAAATCATTTTAAAACATTCCAATTTCTTCAGTGCAGTGAGTGATTAAATGCATTTCTGCTGAAGTGACCCAAATCAAATTGAGCCGTCAAAAGCTTGGAAGCCTCTGTTGAATGAAACCCCTGGAAGCTGAGTGGGTTTGGAGTTCAGTTCAGCGCTTATTTTTAGCATTTCATGCACCATCCACTACTAATACCTGGTGTTGCACTAAACAGATTGTGATAAGGAAATAATAAGTTTGAAGAACATCCACGTTAGGTCAACACCCCAGGACAAAACACAGTTTGTAAAATACTTATGAGTGATGTTGATAATTGGAGATGTTGTCATTGAGGACGTTGCATAAGAGGAACGGTTCTAAAAGATGTAATGTCGAAACTGCATTAGCTGAAAACAATCTGACCACAAGACACAGTCATGGACGGAAAAACAGTTAGTCTTGCACAGGGCTGCAGTGGAAATTTCTGAGATATGACCAGTTCATGAGAGCAGTAATCATGCCTAACTGGTTAATATTGATATTATGTCAGAAAATTGTCTCTTCTTGTTAAGACCCTCTTGATTCCTCTATCTTCCACCACTGATAATTAGATAGGATCTTAGAGTGAGCATAGAAAGGAGGACTGGTGGCAGTGGACATTCCCAGCTACAAGCCACCAATGATTGGGGCGCAGAACACAGTACAATGTTAGAGGGGGGAGAGTGGGGAAAACTTGGAAGCTTTAATGGTGGCAAGAGTCATGGAGTTATACAGACCCTTTGGTCTAACTTGTCCAAGCCATATCATACTCCCAAACTAAGCCACTCTGACTTGCCTGCGTTCGGCCCATATTCCTCCAAACCTTTCCTATTCATGTACTTGTCCAAATGTCTTTTAAACTGTACCTGCATCCACCATTTCCTCTGGCAGTTCATTCCATATATATGAGCCACTCTCTGTGTAAAAATATTGCCCCCATGTCCTTTTTAAAACTTTCCCCTTAAAAATAACCCCTTATATTTGAACTCCCCTACCCTAAGGAAAGGACCCTTGCCATTAACCTTATCTATGCGCCTCATGATTTTATAAACCTCAATAACGTCATCACTCAAACTCCTGCACTCCAGTTAAAAAAGTCTGAGCTTATCCAATCTATTTTTATAACTCAAACGCTCCATTCCTAGCAACATCCTGGTAAATCTTTTCTGAAATCTCTCCACTCTACTAATATCCTTCCTATACCAGGGAAACCAGAACTGGGCACAGTACTCCAGAAGAGGCCTCATCAATATCCTGTATAACTTCAACATAATGTCCCAACTCCTATACTCAATGGTCTGAGCAATGAAGGCAAGCATGCTAAACACCTTCTTAACTACCCTGTTTACCTGTGATGCAAATTTCAAAGAATTATGTACCTGAGCCCCTGGGTCTCTCTGTTCAACAACACAACCCAGGGCCCTACCATTAAGTGTCCAAGTCCCACCCTTGTTTGTTTTACCAAAATGCAATACCTCGCATTTCTCCAAATTACATTTCATCTGCCACTCCTAAGCCCATTGACCCAACTGATCAAGATCCCTTTGTAATCTTAGATAATCTTCTTTAATGTCCACTATACCACTAATTTTGGGTCATCTGCAAATTTACTAATCATGCCTCCTATATTCTCATCCAAATTGTTTATATAAAAGACAAACTAGGGAAAAATACCGATCCTTGCGGAACACAGCTGGTCAATGGCCTCCAGTTCGATAAACAAGCCTTCTCCACCATTCTCTGTCTCCAAACATCAAGCCAATTTTCAAGATCACCCTGAATCCCATGAGATCTAACTTTGCTAGTTATTCTATCATGTGGAACCTTGTCAAAGGCTTTACTGAAGTACATGCAAACAACATCTACCACTCTGCCCTCATCAATCTTTTCGGTTACTTCCACAAAAAACTCAATTGAGTCTGTGAGACCCAATTTCCCTTGCAAAAAAAACCATGCTGACTATCCCTAATCATTCCTTGCCTCTCCAAATGTATGTAAATCAGAATCACCTCCAACTTATCTATCACTGCTGTCAGGCCAACATGTCTATAGTTATCAGGCTTTTCCTTACAGCCTTTCTTAAACAAAGGTACAACATTAACCACCCTCCAGTCCTCTGGTACATCACCCATGTTTATAAATAATGCAAATATTTCTGTAAGGCCTCTGCAAATTTTTCCCTAACTTCCCCCAGCATCCTGGGACAAACTTGATTGTGTCCTGTTTTCAAAACATCAATATATATATCCCTGAGTTCTGTAGCCTCCATTTCTTTCTCCACAGTGAAATCTGATGCAAGATATTCATTCGGTATCTCTCCCATCTCCTGAGGTACAACACATTGATGACCTTGTTGATCTTTAATGGACCCTATTCTCTTTTAAGTTGTTCTTTTGCTCTTAATGTACTTGCGGAATCTCTTTGGATTATTCTTAACTTTATCTGCCAAGGCTAACTCATATCCCCGCTTTGCCCTCTTGATTTTCCTCTTAAGAATGCCCCTACTATCCGGATAGTCTTCAAGAGATTTATTTGATCCCAGTTTTCTTTATCTAATGTATGATTCTTTCTTATTTTTGACTAGACTCTCAATATCTTTATTCATCCATCATTCTCTAATCCTACTAGCCTCACCTTTCACTCTAACAGGAACACAATGGCCCTGAATTCTTATTATCACACTTTTGAAAGCCTCCCACTTATCAGTTGTCCCTTTAACTGCAAACGGTCTATACCAATCAATTTGTGATAGTTCTTGCCTCATACCATTAAAATTTGCCATGCTCCAATTAAGAACTTTAACATTTTTGGAAGGTCTATCCTTTTCCCTAACTATTTTAAAAATAATAGAATTATGATCACTAGTCCCAAAGTATTCCCTTATTAACATTTCAGTCACTTGCCTTTCCCTTTTTCCAAGAGAATGTCAAGTTTTGTTCCTTCTCTAGCAGGTACATTTACATATTGATAAAGAAAATTTTCTTGAACATGTTTAACAAGTTCCTCACAATCTAAGCCTTTAACACTACAGCAATCCCAGTCAATGTTTAGAAATCCTATTATTCTTAGATATATCTGAGATCTCTCTACATATTTGTCCCTCAATTTCTCTCTATTGGGGGCCCACCAAGGTGATCATCCCTTTCTTATTTCTAATTTCTACCCAGATAATTTCACTGGATGATCCCTCAGACATATCTTCTCGAATTACTGTTGTGATATTTTTCCTTAATGAAAACACTACACTCCCTCCTCTCTTGCCTCCCTTTTCATCTTTCCTATAGCTTCCAAAGGCTGGAACACTGAGTTGCCAGTAGTGTTATTTCCTCAGCCAAGTTTCTGTAATAGCTATGACATCCCAGTTCTATGTTGCCATGCATGCCCTGAGTTCATCAGCCTTACCTGTAAGACCCTGTGCATTCAAAGGAGTTAAAGGTCTGGGTGCAATCAGAATTCTTGTGGAGAAGCTTGCTGTGGTGGTACAACTGGTAATACCATATTGTGGAGGCTCCTCAGAAAGGCATCTAGATCCCAGAAGTAAGTGTAAAGACACTTAGACTTCTGAAACCACATAAATGCTCGCTATGATGAAACTGTGGAGCTTCATGACACTTGGCAATACTGGCTGACAGTTAAAGTCATTAACAGGGTTTGTAGTCTTATTATCATACCTAAAGTAACAATCTGGATTTTTGAGCAAATCTCCCTCCAATGGGTTGGATTTTATCATCTACAGAAAGTTGAGCCTGCTTCTTACTGCCCACACAAGTGCATCAGACATTTGGGCTAATTATTCACAATTCTCATTCTATAAATGGCTAATAACGACCCTGCAGGCCAAGGAGAGGGTGGATCCTGGTCGTTCCTTAAGCAGACTGTCAATGTCATTTAGCAGGATGCCTCATCACCAGCACTTTAAAAGAAGCACCAAGGCATTGCTTGGTTGGTGGTGAGAAGGGCACTACCTGTGAGATTCTTCATTTATGCCTGGATGCTCTGCACCACTGCACACTCCCCTTGAAGCAGCTATTGGGGTGGGGTTGAGACTGACACACATCGCATGCTGGAACGTGCCCTTGCAAAGGAAGTATGGTGACGGATGCAGTCATTTTTGTCGAGGTTAATCCCAAGCAGCTCTGTGATGCAGGGCTCTGTGCTCTCTGGTCTGCTCCCCAGCACGCACACTGAAACAAACATTGGCTTTGTCTGGAGGACCATTATCTTGGTGAGAGACACTCTTTGTTCTGCCCGAACCTTGTTGGCTTTCCAGAGCAAGGAGTTGACCTTGACTGAGTGTTGCAGACTGGCATATTCCAAGGTCCAGGACTACATGCTGAGGGACGCACTAAAGCTTGGGGCAGCTGCTGCCAATGAGCAGTGGGGAAAGAAGACCATCTAAAGTCTTTCTGTCGAAGTTAAATTGGGGTCTGTTCAGTTATCGGACCCTCCCAGTGCCTCAAATATATGTAAATATAGTCTTGTACAAGTAAAAAATGCCTTTGGTTTGTTTTTTGGATAGAGTCAAACTCCAACATTGTTTATTTCTTCATATGCTACTCTACAGAACTGAACTGCTTTAGTGACTATGTATGCATATAAAGATTTGTTATGAATAAACTATATTTTGAAAATAAAAAAAATCATGTAGAAATGACTGAGTTGATTTTACTGAAAAGTAATTCATTGCTGAACAACCTCTCTGGCCCTGAAAGACTAACTTAACAATTGTGGAGTTTTGTGGATTCAGAAAAAATAATGTCACAGTGTTTTACATTTAGACTTCATTGTCTTAATTTGCTCCTTTATGTCTCTCAATTACTCCCATGTGCATGTCCAAACAATTATTTTGCCTTCTGTACAATAATTTAAATATGCCATCTATTCCCTGTTTTGCTGTCTGCATGAGGATTCCCCATGAGGATTCTGCAATTTGAGCTGCGGACAACTTCCTTCTCCCTTGTCCTGCTCATAGATGCCACAGTTTCACCTGTAGAGGGAGCTAACTTCAAATAGATGCCAGGAGAGTGGAAGCCTCCATTGATACACCATTCATACATTAAATGTCTGTGGACAACTGCATTGAGAAATGAACAATACTTTGTCACTTACAGCAAACTCTGGGCCCTGAGCTTGCTCCAAAAGAAAAAAAAATCACAACTTTTCTTTCCCTTTGTTACATTTTGCGAATAAAACTAAAACCAACTTATCGTTCGTGCGTTGAATAGTTACCTTCGTATCTTAAAGCTAATCCAGTAGATGTACCAGAGCTGTCAGTAGTCAATTCAATGAAGAAATGTTGTGAATCACTGACGATGCCTTCGATGGGCAGGTATTCCACTTCATAGGAGTCATAAACTGAAGGAGCGTCAATGCTGTCCCCATTCCGAATTATGACCCTGGCAAAGAAGAGAAACTCTGGTGCTTATTTGAAAAGTCATGTCAAGTTACGGTTGACAGAGTTGACCAAGAAGCAGGGGAAAGAGAAAAAGTAGGCATATATGCCCTCAAATCTGTTCTGCCATTGAATCCAATCATGGCTGACCTTATATCACAATTCCACTTTCCCACTTGCTCGTTATGTACCTCAGTTCCATGACAGATCAAAAATCTGTCCCTCCCAGACCTAGATAGATTCAACAATGGAGAATGTACCACCTTCTAGATCGAGAATTCTAAAGTGCTGAACGCAGAAATATTTCCTTATCTCTGTCATAGATACCCTTTATCCTGACCCTATATTCTGGATTCCCCAGTCAGGAAAACAACCTCTCGATATCTACCCTGTCATGTCCTTTAAAAATCTAACATGTTTCAATGGGAACAACTCTCATTATTCTAATATCCAGAGAGTACAGGCCAAATTTATTCAGCTTTTCATTTTTAGAACTTACTGAATGAACCTTTGCTGTATACTTCCAAGGCAAGTAAATCTATTCTTGGAATATGGATATCAGTTCTATGGACATTATTGTAAGCATGGCCTCTTCAAAGCTCTGTCAATTGTAGCAAGGCATTTTTATTCTTGTTCTCCAATCTTTTTGCAATAAACCTCAACATGCCATTTTCCTTCCTAGCTATTTGATCCATCTGAGTGTTAATTCTCTAAGTTCCTTGTATGAGTACATCTAAACATATTCTGAATAGCAAAGCTTACAAGTTTTACATCTTTTAAAAAGATTGGCTTTCCTATTATTACCACCAAAGTGAATAAACTCACACTTCTTCAGATTATTTTCCCTGGTTTCCCACTCACTTAACCTTCTTTGAGTCCTCCTCCTAGCTAACATTCCGAATTAACCTCGAAGCATCACCCTAAGTGCCTTCACCCAATTATAAATAGTGGCGTTCTCAGCACTGATCATTGTGACACTCCATTACTCACAGCCTACCAATTCATAAATGCCACATATATCCCTATTCTTTCCATTCTTGCCATTGACCAATATTTGATCCTTGCTTATATAATCACCTTGAATCTAAAAGCATTTATTTTTGCATATTGGGCTTTTTGAAATATTAAAGATTCTTAGAGCTTGAAAGGGTAGATGCAGAAAGGTTGTTTCCCCTCGTGGAACAGTCTAGGACCAGAGAGTATATTCTCAGAGTAAGGGGTCATCCAGTTAAGACAAAGATGAAGAGGAATTTCTTCTCTCAGTGGGTACTGAAACTGTGGAATGTTTTACTTTGGAAGGTGGTCAAGCCTGAGTTAATGAGTAAATTCAAGGCTGAGATAGGCAGATTTTTAATCAGGAAGGGAAGTGAGAAGTATGGGGAGGCAAAAGAAAGTGAGGTTCAAGATTATCAGATCCACCATGATCTTATGGAATGATGCAGCAGACTTGATAAGCTGTTGCTACATCTTATGTTCTTATTGAAGAGCTGATCTTCATTTTCAAGCAGTGTATCTACTTTCTTCTTGAATGCAAGTAAGGGACAACATAATTTATTTTATACAAACACTTTGATTATGATTTCTTAGAAACTGAACAATTGGAATCATCCTGTTGGTGGCACAGTCTGAAGGTTATGCTTCCCCAAACCTCAAATCATTTCTCCCAGCCACCACATTCAAGGTATAAGTTGTCTTCCATAAGATATTTTGGAAATTCAGACTTCAGAGCCTGGGAACAGATATATTTTGAGATTCTTTAAAATACAGCCTTGTGCACCACTTTTACAAATACTTAACACCTAATTTGCCCATTTACTTTTTGAAAGATGCTGCAGTCAAGAGGATAGATTCCAATTGTGATTAAATTTCAGATCACAGGATAATTCCGAATAGCCAAGTTCATCCAACTGAGGTTATGCTGCTTGCAGGCAAGAATGGAGTAAGGAGTTACATTTACAGCAGACATTACCTGTCATCGTCTTCGGCCAGTGCAACTTTCTCAAAGTGCAAGTGTAACTTCTGTCCTTCTGGAGCTTCAATCAACCAGTAACAGGTCAGGTTGTTGCTATAGTTACCCGGAAAGTTGGGTGATGTGATGCGGCCTACAGTTGCATTTCGAATGAATCCCCCACAGGTAGCTGTAAAAGAAAATTTGCAGTTTATTTAGTGCTCACTCCTTGATTGAAAGAATGCCATTAAGAACTTCTGAAACAATTATTTCTTGTCTCTTTGCTCCATTTGTAATGGAATGTTAACATAGCTTTAGAAAGCTGGTGGTAAGAGAGTGCCGAGTTGCACAAAAACATGCATTGCATCTTTGCAGTTCCTTCTCATACAGTTGTATTGTGTTGTTATGGTTTCAGGATATTCCTCTGGTTACTGCTTATGAAAATTATTGCATAAAGTTAAATTCTGTGACAATGCCAGCATTGTCAAATATATACGCATAGATGTAGATTGGAACACCACTCATGCACACATTTTATATTTATATGTAAATATTTTACAAATATTGGACAATGCCAGTACTGTTGTCATATTTAACAGTTGTCTGCAGAAATGGATGTGTTACTGGAATTCAGGCTTGGTGACATGAGTGCTTGATGATACGTGAAACATTTGTGAGATTGCAAATGCCTGGGTCACATTAACACAATAAACAGTCTTGCTGCAGTCATCTATTTTTTCATCGGAGTGGAAAAGGTATTTCATCACCGAGTTAATTGTCCTGCCTTTCAGTGGCCATAGTACTGCATTGAATTGGATCTCTATTTGTACTGAAATAACGGATGTTTCTTTGCATTCCTTGAAAAGGAATAATTAAGATATGTGCCCAAAATGACGGATTTAAACAAATTTAATCCTTATGTTAGGGAATGAAGAGATAAGGATGGAGAATAAGTTCACATGAAACTTTTGAAAACTTGTTTTTAGCATTCTGTGTGTCATTTGTTCTGAAATTTATGATTCAAATTTGAAACAATGATTAAAATTAAATTCAATGAAGAGAATTACTACAGTAAATGAAAAACCAATCAAGCACAATGGCTACCTTCAGAGCAATAACAAATATAAATATAAATAAAAGAAAACATAGCAGATTGTCCCTCTTATCGAACCCAATTCACATGTCTTACCTAATTTAACCATCATGGAGAGCACACATAAGCTATTTAATCAGGTTACGGAGTTTGGTAACATTTGAGGTAACACATACCTCAACTACTGCCCCAAAAGTAAATTGTAAATAATACCAGATGTGCCTAGCTTTATATCCTCTATCGCATGCTCTTAAACATGATATCCACTTTTTCCAGAATATATTTATGGATTTATTCACTCATAAGTTGAGCTGAGCTTTATCCTTGACACCCATTATTATGACTACTTTCTGCCATCACTGCTGCAGTGCTGTTTTATTCACCACCTTCTAAATATTGTAAAGAGCCTCATCCGTCGCCTTTATCACCTTGGGACTAGACAACCGCAATAATCTCTGGACAGGCTGCTTGCCTCAACGCTCCCTAAATCATAATTTGTACAGATTGCTCTTCCTTGTAGAACATTTTGATATGGTTTCCTGCAAAGTTGTTATTTAAATGTAATTTGTTGGTGATCTATTATATATAACAACAGAGAAAATAAATCATGTTAATGCATTACACATTATCTAATATGACACAGCATGGTTTCTGGGCTTCAATTAATGGAATTTGTTTCCTAATAAAATCAACCACTGATTATTATGCGACAATAATTATCCATTAGTTGTTTAACCTTTCATTTGAAACACCAAGCTTGATGGGCTTGATTGGTCATCCCTATTCCATATTTCTGACACTCTTTTGCAAGATAAATTTGAATTTATTTCATTCCCAGTGAGTGTGGGCCCACAAGTCCAAAATGTGGTTCTAACTTCAGCAATCTGTACTCTTGCTTCTGGTTTTTCATTAAATTTGTTACCCTCCCATTGATTCTATCCCTTTCAGTCCCTGACTGGTACATTGAAAAAGGCTTTCTGAAAGTCTATACTGTATACATTCCTTCCATTGCATTTTCTATATCCAAGATATCTGCCACCTTCTCAAAGATCTTATGTCAAAATATGTCTCTTTTTCTGCAATCCATGCCTGAACTGACACTTGAGCGATACGAACAGAGCTGTAAGGGGGAATGAATATTGCTGACTACTCCAGGACATTCATTTAGGCAATATCCTTCGCTGAAAAGAAATATTTGCCAAAATACTCACATTAGGAAAGAGTAACAGAGACTTGAAAGATGCAGAAGTTAAAACATTTGTAGATATTATTGTGGAATGAAGAAGTATTAAAAGCTTAAGATTTCCAGAACCCATCAGCTGTCCTGTCAGGGAACTGTTTTAGGATCGAGTTTCTGTTCATTAATATTAGTCAAGCCATGGCAATCTGGGCAGAATTGGCTGAACTGGTGTTGAAGTTTGGGGAACTTTAAAACGTTAGTCAGTTATGCCTGAGATCAGTTCAGGAGTCAATTTGCCTGAGTGAGGCCTCACCTATAAATTGCATGATCTGCCCCTACCTGCTTCCAACTCTTGGGTAAGATTATAAAAATCTGTTGCTTCAGGAAGGTTCTTCAAACTGTATCCAATTTCTTTGCTGAGAGGGCACTAGCTGGCTGTTTGTAAGTTTTTGACATCAAAAAGTATGTAATACACCATGAAGTTGATCAATATGCACCAACAAAACCATTTGAAGGCTGAGTCTCTTATTTTTAAAAATTATTTTCACTGATTTTTTAAGTCATATTACACTCAGATGAAAGTCTGAATGTCCTAACTGAAGTTCTTATTTTTGGTTCCATTTTCAGCTGTATTAATAAAACTACACTTAAGTACATCAAACAAATACATTGTAATGCAGACATAAATAATTAAATTTGATCATACTGCCTGGTTGTATTGGCTTACAGCAGGTTTTAAACTTGTGATTGTGCAAGTAAATTTTAATGAAAATTTGAAGCCTAACTTAGCCAGTGTAGGATCAAGAAAATTGTGTATGACTCTACCAAAGTTGAAACTCTAACTGAGGTCTGAACATACAAAAAGAAGCATGAGCTTTTTTGAACAGTCAGTTTGGGGTGTTGAACTTTTTGACGTCTTGGGTTGTAACTGAACTGAAACCAGAGCTGCTCAACATGACATTCGTTGCTTTGAATTTAGTTGATGAGAACAAGTGAGCCAGAGACCTCATCTGGAGGTTCATTAAACATGTGACAACTGCAGAAGGAACAAGCCAGCAACACATATGTGCCTTGGCACTAAGTGATAGTTAATAGAGGTCCCTGAGGTAAGGTATCGAGAGAAAAGAAAATATTTAAAATGACAAAAGAAAATTTCATTGAAGAGAAAATCCCTTAATTGTAAACACAACCAAACAATATTTTTAAAAATATGTATTGTAGAGAGACTTAAAGCATGATCAGTGAATTGCTGCTGGGAGAATGTCCAGGATCTGCTGTCTTCCCATGGAGACTGCTTCATATTACAATTTGGCGTGGCATTGAGTGAAAGCCACGCAATTCTTCGAGGGGCAATGTCAGGACAGACTCTTCTGCTGAGCAGTGTCCACCTACAAACCACACCAACTGGGCAGCAAGTTGGCTAAGAATCCTTGACATATTCAAGAACATAAGGGAAAGGAGAAAAGGTCGGCCATTTTGCCCATCAAGCCTGCTCTGCTTCAGTTTTCAATATAATCATGGGTGATCTTTGGCTGTAACTCACTTTCCCACCTGAACCCCCTCTCCCCCCACCCCAGCCATACCTTTGATTCCAAAAAGACTCCAGAAATCTATATCTCTTAGCCTGTGATGACCCAGTGGAGGCAATGGGCCAAAAATCAAGCTCTGTTATTCCTGACGTCATATCAAATGTTAAAGTTTTGATTAAGGTATTCTCTGTACCTCAATTTACCAGACTTTCAGACTAAGGTTGGTAGAAAGCATGGGCCAGTCTCTGCATTAACCAAGAATTTATTATTTATTACATGGAATTAGACTTTAGTCACAGGTAAACAGATATAAACCATTAGCATTTAACACTACTAACTAAAACTCTAATCCCCTTGTAAACTCTCCCTTACACTTACACAAAGATAAACAGGTTGGAAAATAGATAATTGCCAGAGGTAGATCATAGATCATAGAATTCCTAAAGTGTGGAAACAGGCCATTCAGCCCAACAAGTCCACACCGACCCTCTGAAGAGCATCCCACCCAGACCCATCCCTCTACCCTTTCCCTGACATCCTGCATTTCAGGTAGGGAAACTGGAAAGTCAGCTCTGTGGTCTTTGCTTCCTTTTTATGATGTTGAAATAATCCTTCTTCAGCGACCAGACACCTAGCATTTCCAATGTCTTTCTTTGGATGCTTTGACTGGCTTATAAGAAGTAGAAAGTAACTGATTCACTTAGAAACGGTCTTTGATTTATCAATTTTACTCTAGGGTCACTGGAAGCAAAACACAGACTCTGCTTTCTCTTCAGATGCTGCCAGACTTGCTGAGTTTCTCCAGCAATTTCTGTTTTTTGTGCATTTCAGAAGAATTCAATTCCAGGTGGTGTCCCATGAGTAGAATGGACAGAATTTGTGAGAGACTTTGGTTGATTATTAATCTGCAATTCCTTCCAAAATACCTATGGCAGGAGAGTTTCCTGATTGGCCAGAGCCATGAACATAGAACATAGAACATAGAACATAGAACATTACAGCGCAGTACAGGCCCTTCGGCCCTCGATGTTGCGCCGACCTGTGAAACCAATCTGAAGCCCATCTAACCTAAACTATTCCATTATCATCCATATGTTTATCCAATGAATCCATGTTATAGTTGCAGTGCAACAGTACCCCATTCTCATGTTAAAGACACCATACAGAAGTTTGTTCATCCAGCTCTACACCTTGTTATCCCAGACTCCATCCTCGGCAGTTCCTACTATCTCATACAGAAGTTCTTGTTATGTATAGGCGATATCCTTGTTTCAAAGGACAACTACACATATACTAACAACCAATTTAAGATGACAATGGGAAATAAAGCAAGGCTTAATTATGTTTGCTGAAAGCTACCTTTATTAAAATGCTGAGTCTTGCTTTCT